GTGGTTGAGGACAGTGGGTGGGGGTGGCAACTCTTCGGGGTTCGAACCGAGGGTTCAGTGGGTCACCTGTACTCCAAGATGAACCTGGACTACGAGAACCTTGAACACCGTCGAGGCTTCAGGTTCCTGGTGGAGGTGTCTGATGAGGTGAGTACCCAAACCCTGGTCACGGGGCCAGGAGCTGCAGATCGACCCCCACTCTGACACACACACCCACATACGGAGTCAGGAGCTGCAGCTCGACCCTCACACTCACACACACGGGGCCAGGAGCTGCATCTCAACCCCCACACTCACACACACGGGGCCAGGAGCTGCAGCTCAACCCCCACACTCACACACACGGGGCCAGGAGCTGCAGCTCAACCCCCACACTCACACACACGGAGCCAGGAGGTACGACTCGACCCCAGCAACCAAAAATACGTGAGTACACACACACTTGGATAATTGCAACTGTATGACTCCCTGTGGGTTAAGCGTTTGCCATAAATTTAATAATAATAATCATAATAATAACAACTAAATAATAATAATAATAATAATAATAATTACTCAACCATGGATACTCCCCAGAACAAGCAATAATCTCCCCAGGGTGGATAACCTAGGTGACTGTGTCTCCCTCTCACCCCCAGGGTTCAGGGGGATGGTGTGACCCCAGCCACACAGACTCAGCCTGGGTTAACATTAACCTCATTAACCTCAACGACAACCCACCGGCGTTCTCACGCCCGCACGCCCACGTCACGCTGAGAGAGGACGCCCATCCTGGCACTCTGCTGACTTCTCTCCCCGCCCACGACCCTGACATGGTCAGTCCAACTTTTAAGATTATTATCTATTGTAATAATAGTATAGTTATTAATATTATTATTATTATTATTATTATTATTATTATTATTATTATTATTATTATTATTATTATTATTATTATTATCATCATCATCATCATCATCATCGTCTTGGTTTTGAAGAGGTATAAATGAAGGAGAACAAAGATGGGAACAGGTGAAACCTGTCGATCAAACACCTGTGTGGTGCGTGAGGCAAGGTCAAGGTCAAGGTCAAGGTCAAGGTCACGGTCAAGGTCAAGCTCAAGGTCGCCTTCTGTCCAACTGCAGGGAGTGTTGCAAACATTGAATGAGTCAATCAAGCCACTCCAATCTTACTCCCCTCGTCTGAGTGTGTGGTCGAGGACCACCACAACACTCAGACCAGGTCTGTGTTGTGGTCCAGGACCACCACAACACTCAGACCAGGTCTGTGTTGTGGTCCTCGACCACCACAACGCTCAGACCATGTCTGTGTTGTGGTCCAGGACCACAACAACACTCAGACCAGGTCTGTGTTGTGGTCCAGGACCACCACAACTCTCAGACCAGGTCTGTGTTGTGGTCCAGGACCACAACAACACTCAGACCAGGTCTGTGTTGTGGTCCAGGACCACCACAACACTCAGACCAGGTCTGTGTTGTGGTTCAGAACCACCACAACACTCAGACCAGGTCTGTGTTGTGGTCCAGGACCACCACAACACTCAGACCAGGTCTGTGTTGTGGTCCAGGACCACCACAACGCTCAGACCAGGTCTGTGTTGTGGTTCAGGACCACCACAACGCTCAGACCAGGTCTGTGTTGTGGTCCAGGACCACCACAACACTCAGACCAGGTCTGTGTTGTGGTCCAGGACCACCACAACACTCAGACCAGGTCTGTGTTGTGGTCCAGGACCACCACAACGCTCAGACCAGGTCTGTGTTGTGGTTCAGGACCACCACAACGCTCAGACCAGGTCTGTGTTGTGGTCCAGGACCACCACAACACTCAGACCAGGTCTGTGTTGTGGTCCAGGACCACCACAACACTCAGACCAGGTCTGTGTTGTGGTCCAGGACCACCACAACACTCAGACCAGGTCTGTGTTGTGGTCCAGGACCACCACAACACTCAGACCAGGTCCGTGTTGTGGTCCTGGACCATCTCAGACCTGGTCTGTGTTAATACGTCTACAGCAGAAAGAAAAAAATGAAAGAAGAGATGGAGGAAAAAGATTTCAAGACGAAGTACCAGGGAGGTGATGGAGGGTACCAGGGAGGTGATGGAGGGTACCAGGGAGGTGATGGAGGGTACCAGGGAGGTGATGGAGGGTACCAGGGAGGTGATGGAGGGTACCAGGGAGGTGATGGAGGGTACCAGGGAGGTATGGAGTATCGGAGGATGGTACCAGGGAGGTGATGGAGGGTACCAGGGAGGTGATGGAGGGTACCAGGGAGGTGATGGAGGGTACCAGGGAGGTGATGGAGGGTACCAGGGAGGTGATGGAGGGTACCAGGGAGGTGATGGAGGGTACCAGGGAGGTGATGGAGGGAGGGAGGGTACCAGGGAGGTGATGGAGGGACGGAGGGTACCAGGGAGGTGATGGAGGGAGGGAGGGTACCAGGGAGGTGATGGAGGGACGGAGGGTACCAGGGAGGTGATGGAGGGAGGGAGGGTACCAGGGAGGTGATGGAGGGAGGGAGGGTACCAGGGAGGTGATGGAGGGAGGGAGGGTACCAGGGAGGTGATGGAGGGTACCAGGGAGGTGATGGAGGGAGTGAGGGTACCAGGGAGGTGATGGAGGGAGTGAGGGTACCAGGGAGGTGATGGAGGGTACCAGCGAGGTGACAAAGAAGAAGAAGAAGAAGAAGAAGAAGAAGAAGAAGAAGAAGAAGAAGAAGAAGAAGAAGAAGAAGAAGAAGAAGAAGAAGAAGAAGAAGAAATGTCAAAAGACTTGCAACAGATTCTTAAACCCGGAGAGTTAAGTTGTCTGGCTTAGTTCTTGTATCCCTCAGGATGTGTAGAAGAGAGGGATCATGTGGGTGTGTCACTGACCACTTAGTTCCTCTCTACCCAGGATGTGTAGAAGAGAGGGAACATGTGGGTGTGTCACTGACCACTTAGTTCCTCTCTCCCCAGGATGTGTAGAAGAGAGGGAACATGTGGGTGTGTCACTGACCACTTAGTTCCTCTCTCCCCAGGATGTGTAGAAGAGAGGGAACATGTGGGTGTATCACTGACCACTTAGTTCCTCTCTACCCAGGATGTGTAGAAGAGAGGGATCATGTGGGTGTATCACTGACCACTTAACTATCCAATCAAGTCGTCAGATGAATCCAGTCCAAGGAATCTGCCAACACATTCCAGGATAACTAAACTGGTTACTGGAACCCAGGTCTTCTTCCTGAGCTGGACGTGTTACCAGTGAACCACAGGAATCATCACGTCATGGACCTACTGGCCCATGCTAGGCAGGTCCATGTCACACCCACTCACATCTTAACACAAGAGGGGAAAGGCAGGTGGAACAGGTGGAATAGGAGGAATGTGTAAAAGGTGGAATAAGTTAGAATAGGTAGAATAGATGGAATAGGTGTATTAAATGGAAGAGGGACCTCCACTCTTCCAACTCTCGTTTTCTTTACTTATACACCAAAGAAAACGAACTTTCTCCCAATTAATTATTTTTTATCATTATTATTACTGATATTATAATAATTCTTAATTATTACTCTCTGGTATTCCTGGTGATCAATAGAGATGACACAGTCTCACAACATTTATATTATTAATAAGTAAAATGTCAATTTAATTGAGTTTTATTGTTGCCTCGATAACTGATAATTATGCAATACAAATAACTAACTTAACGTGATATAACGATATATATATATATATATATATATATATATATATATATATATATATATAATATATATATATATAATAATATATATTATTATAACTATTATATATATATATATATCACGTGAGAGGTGTATGTTCTCAGTGTATAACCTGAGAGTTGAATCAGTATTTTGGGTATTAAATAATTCTTGACGGGTGATGCACAGGTGACATACAGCCTTAATAACCCTGTGTAGTAGGTAGGTTTGAAACCCCATTACCCAAATATTTAGTAAGGTTCATTTAATCTTGATACTAACTAATTTCTTGTAGTTAAGTGACGGCTGGCGTGGTTGCTACGCCTGGAGTGTGGGGGCGTGGCAGGGCTCCCTGGGTGCTGACAGCCACGGGGCGGGCCCTACACGTCTTCTACGTCCTGGACGAGAATCCCGAGGTGCGCCAGAGGTGTTGATTTCATCTGGCGGTGGACCGTGGGGCGGTCCACCCCTCTCATCCACTGCCACCCTGGGTTACAATCACGACCTCATACGACTGCCCCTCCGCCTCCTCCTGCCCCCCATCGACCTGCGAGTGCTTGAAGGCGCCCCCACCGTCCTCCTGGGTCCTCACAGCCCGGTCGACGACTTGTGTCCCTGGGACCGGACCCCCCTTCTTCTTTGCCATGGCAGACGACAACCCCCTTACGTCGTAGCTATCATTGACTTCAGTTTGACCCTTGTGAGTGGTGCTCTCTCTCTCTCTCTCTCTCTCTCTCTCTCTCTATCTATCTATATATCTATCTATCTATCTATCTCTCTCTCTATCTATCTCTCTCTCTCTCTATCTATCTATCTCTCTCTCTCTCTATCTATCTATCTCTGTCTCTCTCTATCTATATATCTCTCTTTATCTATCTATCTCTCTCTCTTTATCTATCTCTATCTATCTCTATCTGTCTATATCTATCTCTATCTACCTATCTATCTATCTATATCTATCTATCTCTATCTATCTATATATATCTATCTACCTATATCTGTCTATATCTATCTCTATCTATCTATCTATATCTATCTCTATCTCTATACATCGGGAACACACAAACGTCTCGGTGTCTACATGTTGTGATGTATGACAGTGTATTATTATTGTTGTATTTTGGTGTATAACTGGAGGTATTGCAAGGTTGCTGTTGTTAGTTATGTTGCTTGCACAGATCTGGACCAGGGACGAGGAGGAGCGGTGTTGGTCACCCGTGGACCACTGGACCGGGAACGAAGGCGGGTGTTAGCGGTGCAGGTGATGGTTACTGACGCTGGGGGACTGTCAGCCGTCAGCACGGTACACGTCACCGTGGCTGATCTTAATGACCATCCCATGAGGCCAGGAGCTAAGACAGTTTACGTGTGGAAGGTACAGGTGAGTGTACTCACCTATTTGTACTCACCTATTTGTGGTTGCAGGGGTCGAGTCACAGCTCCTGGCCCCGCCTCTTCGCTGATTGCTACTAGGTCCTCTCTCTCCCTGCCCCATGAGCTCTATCATACCTCGCCTTAAAACTATGTATGGTTCCTGCCTCCACCACATCACTTTCTAGGCTATTCCATGGCCTGACTACTCTATGACTGAAGAAATACTTCCTAACATCCCTTTGATTCATCTGAGTCTTCAACTTCCAATTGTGACCTCTTGTGTCTGTGTCCCATCTCTGGAACATCCCGTCTTTGTCCACCTCGTCTATTCCGCGCAGTATTTTATATGTCGTTATCATGTCTCCCTTGACCCTCCTGTCCTCCAGTGTCGTCAGGCCGATTTCCCTCAACCTTTCTTCATAGGACAATCCCCGTAGCTCTGGGACTAGTCTTGTTGCAAACCTTTGCACTTTCTCTAATTTCTTGACGTGCTTGACTAGGTGTGGATTCCAAACTGGTGCTGCATACTCCAGTATGGGCCTGACGTAGATGGTATACAGAGTCTTAAACGAATCCTTACTGAGGTATCGGAACGCTATCCGTAGGTTTGCCAGGCGCCCGTATGCTGCAGCAGTTATCTGATTGATGTGCGCCTCAGGTGATATGCTCGGTGTTATACTCACCCCCAGATGTTTTTCCTTGAGTGAGGTTTGCAGTCTTTGGCCATCTAAACTATATTGTGTCTGCGGTCTTCTTTGTCCTTCCCCAGTCTTCATGACTTTGCATTTGGCAGGGTTAAATTCAAGGAGCCAGTTGCTGGACCAGGCTTGTAGCCTGTCCAGGTCTCTTTGTAGTCCTGCCTGATCCTCGTCCGATTTGATTCTTCTCATTAACTTCACATCATCTGCAAACAAGGACACTTCTGAGTCTATCCCTTCCGTTATGTCGTTCACATATACCAAGAACAGCACAGGTCCTAGGACTGACCCCTGTGGAACCCCGCTTGTCACAGGCGCCCACTCTGACACCTCCTCGCGTACCATGACTCGTTGTTGCCTCCCTGTCAGATATTCTCTGATCCATTGCAGTGCCTTTCCTGTTATGTGTGCCTGGTCCTCTAGCTTTTGCAGTAACCTCTTGTGAGGAACTGTGTCGAAGGCCTTCTTGCAGTCCAAAAATATGCAGTCGATCCACCCCTCTCTCTCTTGTCTTACTTCTGTCACCTTGTCATAAAACTCTAGTAGGTTTGTGACACAGGATTTTCCTTCCCTGAAACCGTGCTGGTTGTCAATTATACACTTGTTTCTTTCCAGGTGCCCCACCACTCTCCTCCTGATGATCTTCTCCATGACCTTGCATACTATACACGTTAGTGATACAGGTCTGTAGTTTAGTGCCTCATGTCTGTCTCCCTTTTTAAAAATTGGGACTACATTTGCCATTTTCCATACCTCAGGGAGTTGCCCAGTTTCAAATGATGTGTTGAAGATCTTTGTTAATGGCTCACACAATATTTCTGCTCCCTCTTCAAGGACCCACGGAGAGATGTTGTCTGGTCCCACCGCTTTTGAGGTGTCAAGTTCGCATAGCAGCTTCTTCACCTCCTCCTTGGTTATATGTACCTCATCCAGCACTTGCTGGTGTGCCCCCCTGTTCTGATTTCTTGGAGTCCTACTGGTTTCCACTGTAAATACCTCTTTAAATCTTGTGTTGAGCTCCTGACAAACCTCTCGGTCGTTTCTTGTGAATTCCCCATCACCCTTCCTCAGTCTGATTACCTGGTCCTTGACTGTTGTTTTCCTCCTGATGTGGCTGTACAACAGCTTCGGGTCAGTCTTACTTTTGATGCTATGTCATTTTCATATTGTCTCTGAGCCTCCCTTCTTATCTGTGCATATTCGTTTCTGGCTCTTCGGCTGATTTCTTTATTTTCCTGAGTTCTCTGTCTTCTGTACCTTTTCCATTCTCTAGTACACCTAGTTTTTGCCTCCCTACACCTTTGGGTGAACCAAGGACTCGTTCTGTTCCTCCCATTATTTCTGTTTCCCTTGGGAACAAACCTCTCCTCTGCCTCCTTGCATTTTGTTGCTACATAGTCCATCATTTCTTGTACTGGGTTTCCTGTCAGTTCCCTCTCCCACTGAATGTCTTGAAGGAAGTTCCTCATGCCTGAGTAGTTCCCCCTTTTGTAGTTTGGTTTTCCCAGCCTATTCCTGCTACTCTCTCCACTTGGAGCTCAACTATGTAGTCGAAGAACAGAACCACATGATCACTAGCTCCCAGGGGCGTTTCATACATGATACCCTCGATGTCCGAACTACTCATGGTGAATACAAGGTCCAACCTTGCTGGTTCATCCTCTCCTCTTTCTCTGGTAGTGTCTCTAACATGTTGATGCATGAGGTTCTCCAGTACCACATCCATCATCTTGGCTCTCCATGTTTCGGGACCCCCATGGGGCTCCAGGTTTTCCCAGTCAATCTCCTGGGAAAACCTGGAGCCCCATGGGGGTCCCGAAACATGGAGAGCCAAGATGATGGATGTGGTACTGGAAAACCTCATGCATCAACATGTTAGAGACACTACCAGAGAGAGAGGAGAGGATGAACCAGCATACTTGTGACTATATTTCATAAATGTAGTTACAATCTTATCCACCAATACAAATGAGTGTACTTACCAACATATAGATGAGGGGGTCGAGACGTAGCTCCTACGAGTCAGCACGTCAACTTCTGGACGTTCCTGCATGAAAAATAATTAGAGTAGGTCAGGTTAGGTTAGGTCAGGTGAGAATAGGTTAGGTTAGGTTAGGTCACCTTAAGATAGGTTAGGTTATGTCACACTAACCTATCAAAACATATGTAAATAGAAACATATCTGCACAAGTAACACTGGTACCAGTGGTAAGTGATAGTGGTAAGTGACAGTGGTAAGTGTCGGTGTTAAGTACCAGTGGATGTCCTTGTCTGCAGGGAGGAAGTGTGACGACAACCCTGGGTCGTGTCTACGTGGAGGACCCTGACGACTGGGACCTGGGGGACAAGAGTTTCCAGTGGTGGGGGAGAGCACACCCGGTGTTCACCCTGGACCATAACAATGGTACCATCACGGCTGCTACCAAGTACCTCACACTGCCCAGGTCAGTCAACCTTCTTCTGTACTCTAGTAACTATCCTGTGGATGGTATTTACCACAGTAGCTACCATCCCCTGGGTGGTACGTACCACAGTAACTGTAATGTGGGTGGTAGTTACCAGAGTAACATCCTCCACCTCCCTTCCATCCTCTACCTCCAAATTCATCCTACGGGCCCACTCCAGTCCCCACCCTCTCATAATGGGCATTGGTATCGGGAAGGTAGCAGGGGTAACGGGGAACTAGCAGGGGTAGCAGGGAAGTAGCATGGGTAGCGGGGAGGTAGCGGGGAAGTAGCAGGGAAGTAGCAGGGAGGTAGCGGGGAGGTAGCGAGGAGGTAACGGGGAGGTAGCGGGGAGGTAGCGGGGAGGTAGCGGGGAGGTAGCGGGGAGGTAGCGGGGAGGTAGCGGGGAGGTAGCGGGAAGGTAGCGGGGAGGTAGCGGGAGAGGAAGGTAGCGGGAAGGTAGCAGGAAGGTAGCAGGAAGGTAGAGGAAGGTAGCAGGAAGGTAGCAGGAAGGTAGCAGGACGGAAGGTAGGACAGGAAGGTAGCGGGAAGGTAGCAGGGAGAGGTAGCAGGAAGGTAGCGGAAGGTAGCAGGAAGGTAGCGGGAAGGTAGCGGGAAGGTAGCGGGAAGGTAGCAGGAAGGTAGCAGGAAGGTAGCGGGAGTAGAAGGTAGCAGGGAAGGTAGCGGGAAGGTAGCGGGGAAGGTAGCAGGAAGGTAGCAGGAAGTAGGAAAGGTAGCGGAAGGTAGCAGGAAGGTAGCAGAAGGTAGCAGGAAGGTAGCGGGAAGGTAGCAGGAAGGTAGCAGGAAGGTAGCGGGAAGGTAGCGGGAAGGTAGCAGGAAGGTAGCGGGAAGGTAGCGGGAGGTAGCGGGAAGGTAGCGGGGAAGGTAGCGGGAGGTAGCAGGAAGGTAGCAGGAAGGTAGCGGGGACAGGTAGCGGGAAGGTAGCGGGAAGGTAGCGGGAAGGTAGCAGGAAGGTAGCAGGAAGGTAGCAGGAAGGTAGCAGGAAGGTAGCAGGAAGGTAGCAGGAAGGTAGCAGGAAGGTAGCGGGGAGGTAGCGGGAGGTAGCGGAGGGAGGAGTAGCGGGGACGGGTAGCGGGGAGGGGAGCGGGAGGTAGCGGGGAAGGTAGCGGAGAGGTAGAGGGGAAGGTAGCAGGAAGGTAGCGGGGAGGTAGCGGAGGTAGCGGGAAGGTAGCGGGAAGGTAGCAGGAAGGTAGCAGGAAGGTAGCGGGGAGGTAGCGGGGAGGTAGCGGGAAGGTAGCGGTAAGGCAGCAGGAAGGTAGCGGGGAGGTAGCGGGGAGGTAGCGGGAAGGTAGCAGGAAGGTAGCAGGAAGGTAGCGGGGAGGTAGCGGGGAGGTAGCGGGAAGGTAGCGGGAAGGCAGCAGGAAGGTAGCAGGAAGGTAGCGGGGAGGTAGCGGGGAGGTAGCGGGAAGGTAGCGGGAAGGCAGCAGGAAGGTAGCGGGAGGTAGCGGGGCAGGTAGCGGGAGGTAGCAGGAAGGTAGCAGGAAGGTAGCGGAAGGTAGCGGGATGGTAGCGGGAAGGTAGCGGGAGCAGCAGGAAGGTAGCAGGAAGGTAGCGGGAAGTAGCGGGAAGGTAGCGGGAAGGTAGCAGGAAGGCAGCAGGAAGGTAGCGGGGAGGTAGCGGGGAGGTAGCGGGAAGGTAGCGGGAAGGTAGCAGGAAGGCAGCAGGAGGCAGCAGGAAGGTTAGTCAGGAATAGCGGGGAGGTAGCGGGAGAGGTTGCGGGAGGTCAGCAGGAGGGTTGCGGGACAGGTAGCGGGAACGCCAGCAGGAGTTGCTAGCAGGAAGGTTAAGCAGGAAATGTAGCGGGCAGGTGCGGGGCAGGTAGCGGGCAAGCATTGCGGGAACCAGCAGGAGTAGCTGTAGCGCAGCATTGCTGTGTTACACTCCAGCAATAGGGAGATTGGCTGTTGTTTGTACATAGCATGAGTCACAGGCAGCAATCGTGTGGTTTGACGTCAGGAGTCTGCTAGCAGGGCAGCATCTGCTGTTGTTGACACCTCCAGCAGGAGTCTGCTAGCAGGGCAGCATCTGCTGTTGTTGACACCTCCAGCAGGAGTCTGCTAGCAGGGCAGCATTCTTGTTACCTGAGTTTGTTGTGACACCCTCCAGCAGGAGTCTGCCAGCAGGGCAGCATCTGCTGTTGTTGACACCTCCAGCAGGAGTCTGCTAGCAGGGCAGCATCTGCTGTTGTTGACACCTCCAGCAGGGCAGCATCTGCTGTTGTTGACACCTCCAGCAGGAGTCTGCCAGCAGGGCAGCATCTGCTGTTGTTGACACCTCCAGCAGGAGTCTGCTAGCAGGGCAGCATCTGCTGTTGTTGACACCTCCAGCAGGAGTCTGCCAGCAGGGCAGCATCTGCTGTTGTTGACACCTCCAGCAGGAGTCTGCTAGCAGGGCAGCATCTGCTGTTGTTGACACCTCCAGCAGGGCAGCATCTGCTGTTGTTGACACCTCCAGCAGGAGTCTGCTAGCAGGGCAGCATCTGCTGTTGTTGACACCTCCATGAGGGCATTGTGTGACTCAGAGGAGTCTGCTAGCAGGGCAGCATCTGCTGTTGTTGACACCTCCAGCAGGAGTCTGCTAGCAGGGCAGCATCTGCTGTTGTTGACACCTCCAGCAGGAGTCTGCTAGCAGGGCAGCATCTGCTGTTGTTGACACCTCAGCAGGAGTCTGCTAGCAGGGCAGCATCTGCTGTTGTTGACACCTCAGCAGGAGTCTGCTAGCAGGGCAGCATCTGCTGTTGTTGACACCTCCAGCAGGAGTCTGCCAGCAGGGCAGCATCTGCTGTTGTTGACACCTCCAGCAGGAGTCTGCAGCAGGGCAGCATCTGCTGTTGTTGACACCTCCAGCAGGAGTCTGCCAGCAGGGCAGCATCTGCTGTTGTTGACACCTCCAGCAGGAGTCTGCCTAGCAGGGCAGCATCTGCTGTTGTTGACACCTCCAGCAGGAGTCTGCCAGCAGGGCAGCATCTGCTGTTGTTGACACCTCCAGCAGGAGTCTGCTAGCAGGGCAGCATCTGCTGTTGTTGACACCTCCAGCAGGAGTCTGCAGCAGGGCAGCATCTGCTGTTGTTGACACCTCCAGCAGGAGTCTGCTAGCAGGGCAGCATCTGCTGTTGTTGACACCTCCAGCAGGAGTCTGCTAGCAGGGCAGCATCTGCTGTTGTTGACACCTCCAGCAGGAGTCTGCTAGCAGGGCAGCATCTGCTGTTGTTGACACCTCCAGAAAGAGTCTGCCAGCACGGCAGCATCTGCTGTTGTTGACACCTCCAGCAGGAGTCTGCAGCAGGGGAGCATCTGCTGTTGTTGACACCTCCAGCAGGAGTCTGCCAGCAGGGCAGCATCTGCTGTTGTTGACACCTCCAGCAGGAGTCTGCTAGCAGGGCAGCATCTGCTGTCGTTGACACCTCCAGCAGGAGTCTGCTAGCAGGGCAGCATCTGCTGTCGTTGACACCTCCAGCAGGAGTCTGCTAGCAGGGCAGCATCTGCTGTTGTTGACACCTCCAGCAGGAGTCTGCTAGCAGGGCAGCATCTGCTGTCGATGACACCTCCAGAGGAGTCTGCTAGCAGGCAGCATTCTGCTGTGTTGACACCTCCAGCAGGAGTCTGCTAGCAGGGCAGCATCTGCTGTTGTTACACTCCAGCAGGAGTATGCTAGCAGGCGCAGCATCTGCTGTCGTTGACACCTCCAGCAGGAGTCTGCTAGTAGGGCAGCATCTGCTGTCGTTGACACCTCCAGCAGGAGTCTGCCAGCAGGGCAGCATCTGCTGTCGTTGACACCTCCAGCAGGAGTCGCAGCAGGGCAGCATCTGCTGTCGTTGACACCTCCAGCAGGAGTCTGCCAGCAGGTGCAGCATCTGCTGTCGTTGACACCTCCACAGAGTTGTAGAGGTAATTGCTGTCGTTGACCACCTCCAGCAGAGTTGCTGCAGGCAGCATCGCTGTCCTTTGACACCTCCAGCAGGAGTCTCAGAGGGCACATCTGCGTTGTTGGAACCTCCAGAAAGAGTTGCCAGCGAGAGCAACATCTTCTGTTGTTGATACCTCCAGCAGGAGTCTCTCACAGCAGCCATCTGCGTTTGACAACTCCAGGCAGGAGTCTGCCAGCAGCGCAGCATCTGCTGTTGTTGACACTTCCAGCAGGAGTCTGCCAGCAGGGCAGCATCTGCTGTTGTTGACACCTCCAGCAGGAGTCTGCCAGCAGGGCAGCATTGCTGTTGGTATGAGACTCAGCAGGAGTCTGCTAGCAGGGCAGCATCTGTT